TTAACAGCCACCAAAATATGGGTATTGCAAAAGTATTACATCTAGATTGTCCTCTGCTAATAAGTACTTGCAGACGTCAGAAACAGAGTCTCTCTTCGATATGAGATCAGCTACCTCTGGACACTCAAGGCAGTAATGCTGTAGGTGGTTCGCATTGTGTGCATCACACAACTTACACGATGTGTACTGGGGCACGTCCTCTGTCTCACCCACCTGCCACACTGGTCTGTAGCCTAAGCGGAGCCGGGCAGCGACCACATTGTGTCTTCTTACCAACAGACCGCGGCGTCGGTATTTGTAGGGGTGAGAGGCAAAGTAGTCGTAGTGCTGGATGCTTACGCTCGCTGGCCGCTCGGCGCTCCTGCGTCGGGTGATTGACAAGCGAGCAGAAGCACGTATCCTCCGCTTGTAGTGAGAGAGGGTTGCTGGCGAGGCGTCAGCCGCAGGTAGGGCTAGCCTACAGGCAGCTTTGGCAAGACGATCTACATCATCATTCGCTGTAACCCCAACATGCGAGGGAATCCATAGGAAATGTATGACAAGTGCATGTCCAATGGCTGTGACTAGGTGGCGCACTATGCGATTGACTAGGCTACGGGCTTCAGGCTTTGGGGAGGAGAGGGCACGAAGGGCAGACTGTGAGTCACAAATAACTAGTCCATTGCTTCTAGTCCGTAGAAGTAGGCTAACAGCATCTAGAAGCCCATGCAGTTCACAGGAGGTAGAACTTGACCAGTCCTGCAGACGACGTCCAGTCCATCCCCCATATGGTGGTTCCATAGTAGGAGAGAAGACAGCACAGCCTGCAGCTCCATCCACTTGTAAAGAACCGTCAACGTAGAGGGTGTGAGAGGCAGGGATGGAAGACCTTACCTTGTTAATGGCCTCGAGGGCTAGTTGCTTCTGTTGGCAGGGTAGGTCCCTCCTACAGGTGGGTGTGTAGGAAACTTCTACAGGAGGAATCTGCCACGGGGGAGGACCATGGTCAACTTCCTCTTGGGGGACATTAATATCCAATCTTCTAAGGTCTCGGCAAACATTCCTTATGAGAGCACAGCCACCTGGTCGGAGTTGTGGGGGACGAGCATTGGGGTCAAGTGACACATTAATAAGGTCAGCATAATGTGGAGCGAGACTGGAAGAGTGGAGACATTTAACAGTAAAGAATGTTACATTGGCATATATTCGTTCCACAAGAGGAAGGAGATGAAGTTCCTGCTGCATGTTAGCAATCCTAGTGGACATTGGGCATCCTAGAATGCAGCGCATTACCTTATTCTGAAATTTTTCTAGTGGTTCTAGTGCTGTCTTGGAGAGTTGACTAAGAGTTGGAGATAGGTAATCAACTACTGAACGGATAAAAGCTGTATAGATATTTCTGGCCACAGGAATGGAGACCCCAGCAGCATTGTTGGTTAGCCACCGAAGGGGTTCAGCGACGTAG